CCTTTAACGTGATTGGGAATGCCCTGCACATGATTTCGTCTGGTACGTTGTGCAATTGTATCAAGGTCTTGTAAGTGTCGAGGTGGTCCAGTGGATCCTTTGTTCCATCAAAGGTCTCCACAGATGGCATTTTGAACTTCTGAGGGAGGGGGTAGTTTGCTACATCAGGTTTGAAAGGCGTATCAGTACGCCTTACCAGGTGGTCAATAGTCTCGGGTCCCTGTGCCTTCATGGCGTTAAAGACATCACCGAGTTGATTCTGTACCTCCTTTATCTTTTCGTCCCAATGATTGGGGGCTCCTCTGGAATGATCATGGAAGTGGCTTCCATGCTCCATGCTTTGGTTTTCACCCTCATCCTCCTGGAGATAAGGGTCCTCTCCCTGGGAAGCAAGGGGAGGGGGAGGTGCAGCTCCCTCATGTTGGGCTTCCCAAAGTGGGGTGCCCAATGGGGCGCCCGGGCGTGGAGCAACAGGGCGTGGTGCTCCTTGATGTCCAGGACGTGGAGCTCCCTGGGGTGCTCTATGTTGTGCACCTCCGTGGGGCCCTCCATGTTGTGCATCTCCGTGTGGTGCTCCACGTTGTGCACCTCCGTGTGGTGCTCCACCTTGGTGTCCTCCATGCTGTGCACCTCCGTGTGGTGCTCCTCCTTGTCCAGCAAGTATGAGTTGCAGTAACTGTTGGTTTTGAGCAACCAGTTGCTGCATGGTCTCCAATATTTGTTGGGGATTCGGGGCTAGAGTATCCGGAACAGGGTTGATAGGGGGGGAGCAACCTCCTCCTCTTGTGGAGGATTGTCTTCGTGTTGGTTCATGGATCGAGTAGTGATCGTCATTAATTAATGGATGTAATGTTCAGGAGTGAGAATTTTGTCGATTCTCATAGACGGCGCCAAACTGATGATGCACAAAAATGATTTTGTACACCACCTGTCAAGTGTAGATAATAAATGCAGTGAAATCGATGAAAGAATTAAAGAAGACACAATTTATAGTGGTTCGGTCAATTCGACCTACGTCCACTCTTCAATGGTTTCAGTTGCCGGGTATTTTATTAATTCAGAGGTATGGAGAATAGAGATACAAACTTTGAGAGAATGGAGAATCAAATAAAGTGGTCTCCGGTCGTCGATCTATCCTCTGTAAGTGTTGGTGGGGCATGACCTTCATCTCTCTCTTCTACCAGATTGGAGCTACTTTATAGCAGCTAAGAGATCATTCTTGTGGAGATCATGACTTATCCTCAAGGCTTCTTTATCGCAGCTAAGAGATTATTCTGGTGGAGATCACGACTCATCCTCAACGGAAGGAGGAGGTTGGGGAGCTCTTCATGGAACATGGTCAAAGATTGGACCGTTTCTTTCGGTGGTGCAGATAAGCTTCCCATGCTCTCCTCTTGGTGACGTGCTAAGCAAAAAGTCTAACCGGTCTTAGACTGTCTTGGGCTTGGTAGAATCAAAATGAGGTTGGGCTCCTCAACTGGGGTTGGACTTTAACACATAAATTGGACTATTTGGGCTTAACCCATCAGGATGCATGATAAGGAAGTCATGTGCTCATCTTTCATGTCATTAACAATAATGTTTTCAGTTGTCTTGTAGGACTAAAATTACTTGAATTTGATAAAACATCAAGGTAGAAGTCGACGCATCCGATCCGACTTTAATGGGTGTCATTTTAGTGCAAGAAAGATCTCTGGTGGTTTTTGAAAGCTAAAAACTTAACGAGGTATGACAACATTTTACAATATTCACAAAAAAGAAAATACCTTTTTTCACATTACTCTTTTTGTGATTCTTTATACGTATCGAAATCCATACAACTCAATTCAATAAAATAACAAAATATATGTAACAAATCAAAATAATAGGTTCATTTCATATATCAAACCATTTCAAAATAAATAAATTTTCTTTTTTCGTTTAAGTCCAATATGTATTTGTTGGAATTTATATTTTAGATTCAGATAGATCATATATTGTAAATTATTTCTTTTTTGTCGATCGACCTTTTTTTTAGACTTTCTTTTATGCTCAACAATTGACTCTCTTCTAATGACAACTAGCAAATTTTTGTCTTGTTTTTCCACTCATTTTTTATCATTACAATATTTTTTAGAAATTTTCCTCAATTTTTGCTAAATATTAGATATTTTGATAAAATGATAGAAAAGGAGTACTTTTGTATCAAAATTTGAAAAATATTCATTACTTAAAATAAAAAATGGTTTTGAGTATGACTTTAAATCCTTGGATTTCTTAATCCTAGCACGGGACACAATACGGATGAAAGACGAATTGATTTCCGTCTTTAGCCTATATCGACTCTTAGCCTTTTTTTATCTTTCCGTCTTTTCTAACCTAGCTCTAAAGTTCTCTGTTGTCACCAAGCCTATATCGCTCCTAGCCTCTTATCGTGCTTCCCTCCTTGTCCTCTACTTAAAAATTTAAAGGTGACTTCTCTCCTAACTAGCTTGCTATCCGAAAAGCTCCATTGCTCTAACTTTCTTGCAAATTACTGTTTTGGCATAGGGGTTCAAAATCCAGATTGATAATATTGCAATGACTATGAGCTACTTTGATATTTTAAAAAAAAACTTAATTCAAAACAAACTCGATGGCATGAGCTTTAAACACTGTTTGATTAATTTTAGGGTGTGTTTGATAACTTTTTTATTTTTATTTTATTTTTTAATAACAAAAAATTAATTTTTGTTCTTTCTGTGATAAAAATTGAAAATATAAACACATGTTTGGTAGTCATTTATATTTAAAAAATTATTAAAAAAATAAAAAAAAATATGTTTTGTATTATATCAAAAATCCACTACCAAAACCCACCACCACCACCAACGAGCTAACACCATCAATCACCTAACCACCCAACTCCACCGAAACACCATCAAAACCAACCACCCAATCCTCTTGCAAAACCCACTATCATCAAACACCTAACATCCAACCAACGAAACCCACCCCCACAGCCCCCCTCAAAACCCACCACCCAACCCCTTGCAAATGGTTATACATCATGCAATTAGTGAACAAATGATTTTTAGCCACGAGAACCAAACAATTTGGATAGATTTAGTTAGGGTTGAATATTACCCCCTAGAGATAAAAAGTATTACATTAACCCCTTAATTTTTTAAAAGGGAAACAATGTGTTCCAACAGTCAAACAGCATCGCTTACTTAAATGGTTAAATATCATGCAATTGATGCAAGGTGATTAATCTTGATAGAATAGAGTGCATCTACGAGAAAATTTCAATACATATAGTATTGTTATGATGTACTAGCAGATGAAATATTCATTGACATCTAGCTGTTGAAATATGTTGTGTAATTTTTTTTTAAAATTAAAGGGATAAAGTGAGATTTTAATTTTGGGGTGACAAAGAATAATTTCTAATATTTTTGAGGAGTAAAGTAAAATTAGACCTTTTGGTAGTGTAAAAACTGCTTGAAAAATGCTATACATACCAAAATATTTACCAAAAAACACTTTTACCAAATTTAGTAGGAGGCCCATGTCCTAAAAAAAATATTTGGGTAAATTATAATTTATACATACTCATAAAGTATGCACTTAATTTGGTATGTAAAGTAAATTATACTTACACTCGAACTATTACCCCCTTTTCACTTTACCCTCTCAACTATCAATTTTCTTACAATGTACTCTTAACTGTATGTAATTAATTTCACATTGCCTTAATTATTAACGTCAGTTATATATTTAATGGAATTTTATTTCATTTTACCTCCTAAATTATGTAATTTATTTTTCACTTTACTTCGACACCTCAACGACTTCCATCTAAAAATATAACAGACATTTTGTGATTGAGACAACGTGAAACAAAAGTATTAGTTAAAAGCGTAATATAAAAAATCTGATAGTTAAGGGAATAACGTAAAATAAGAGTAACAGTTCAGGAAATTTAAGTGTAATTTACCTTTCTTACTGGGTCTGTAAGTTTAAATTGCAACAATCAAACCCTTGTACTCGTAAAATGTTTGGATAAATTATAATTTATACTCGTAAAAGTAAAGTTTTTGATAAGGGTGTTCACCCTATTCTACGGGTAGGAAATATAGTCTTTTGTCTTCCCACACGATACTTTGAGGAATAATTTTTTTTTCTTACCATACCCTAATTTAATAACACAATAAATCAATAACATTAAAATCTAAAACAACAATTATAATAAAATACAATAAAATATGAACATCAATCTATCATAATTGTTATTTAAATACAATAACAATTATTTTAAGTTTAAACTATATGAAATACATTAAAATTATAATTGCTCCAATAGATCACTAGTTCATCACAAATCATGTAACCTATACAAAAAAAAGTCCATGTTTTAGCAACTCAAACATCCACAACAATGGTAATGTTATAATATAAATTATACCACACAAATACTCTTATAATTATTAAAAAAAGTATAAAAAAATTAAATATATTTTTTTGCGGATAGAGTAGGATAGGAATGCGAAAATTGATGCGTATTCTGCATTTTTACCTAATTTAATCGGAAGATGAAAAACTCTTTCGCCGTTCAGTAGGGTAAGGTAGCGTCGGATAAGATAAAAAATTACGACCAATTGAAAATTTGAATACCCCTAGTTTTTGTTATAGCATTGCATTGGTCGTATTAAAAAAAAAAAAAGAAAGGGCCAAACAAGAGTGTGCGCCATCCACAAACAAAACTTTATTCCGGTGGTGTTTGGCAGGAGCTAAGATAGGAAAAAAAGGTGTCTTAGGATGTTGGGTGTGGGCTATTCCTTAAATATACAATGAACCACATGCACTATCACTTTACAAAAAGTAATGAATTTGTGATCTCTTCAATTCCTATTTTCTCTCTCACATCCTCTTTCCCTGATGATAAATTCATGCTTTACCACAATATTCTCACTCTATAAAGACACATTCTAAAACTAAAGCCTGAGAACAACCTCACTACACATTGTCCAAAACACAAAATGGAAGTTCAGGTTGAGAGAGTTCAAGATATTGCCTCAATGCCCTTGTCCTCAGAAACCATACCGAGTTCATCAGGCCAGAGAACGAACAACCGGGGAACACGACGTGCCACGGGCAGGATCTCGAGGTCCCGGTGATTGATTTTGGAATCAAAGATGAGAAAAACTTGTAGAAATCATTGCTGATTCTAGTTCCAAATGGGGTTTGTTCCAAATTGTGAACCATAACATACCGAGTGATGTTATCAGCAATTTACAGAAAGTTGGTAAGGAGTTCTTTGAGCTACCACAAGAAGAAAAATAAGCCATTGCTAAGCCTCCAGGCTCTATGGAAGGCTATGGAACCAAGCTACAAAAAGAAGATCAAGGCAAGAAAGGTTGGGTTGATCACTTGTTCCGTAGGATTTGACTCCTTCAGCTATTAACTGCCAGTTGTGGCCTAAAAATCCGGCTTCCTACAGGTTTGCAATATATTTTGATTTGGTAGAAATTATAACACATGTGACATGTCTTTTTCCTACCTTATCGGTAGAAATTATGGTATTTCATCTTTCTACCTAATATTTTGTAGAAAAAAAATTTGTTGGCCTACCATAGCAGATCAAGTATACTATTTATACTTGAATTCCTTTCAAAACAATCGAGTAGGAAGTTGGGTAAGAAATCGGGTGATCATTTATTTTTTAGTTATTAATTTTTAGATCATTTTAACAATTTAATTAAATAATTTGTACCAGTTAACTAACACAATAAACCAATAATACTAAAAAAACACAATAAATTCGATAATATATAAATAATTACAACAAAACATAATAAGAGAACTATAATCATCGATACATCACATATAAAAAAATCATAAAAATCAATAAAATATTAGGATTTCTTGATTTTTATATTTTAATTTTTAGGGATTTGGGGGAGCTTACTTGGATAAAATATACATATATATAAGAGGTAGGATGAGAATACGGAAATTAATAATATATTAATAAAAATATATTATTTTTTATTTCTAAGAGTAAAGCTTTAGGAATAAAAAAAATAATATACATTTCAGCTCCCGGGAATAAAATTACGTCCAACAAACTTCAATATTATAAGAAAAAAAAAAAGCTTTTTCCCTAGCATTTTTGGCATATTATCTGCAATCAACCACATGATGATTTTTCTCTACTCTTAACCTTATGTGCCTAATAATTAAAATAGTCTCCACAAACGTATATTAGGAGAACAACACCAAATTTATAATCACAACCTATCTCATTCAAAAAACAAAAGGAGAAATCTCATCAGTGGTTATTGGGGAATCTATCCTAACACATGCTGCTAACTATAAGTTCGATAGTGTTAAAAAAAAAAAAAGTCAAGTACACTAGTCTCTCGTTATTGCGAGGTTTGTGGAGGATTGTTATTAGTTTATATTATTCTTTGATTTTATATTTATTGTTCTTTTGCTTAATGATCGCCGTTAACTAAATGTTTTTTCTTCTTTTCTTTTTGTCTTTTTAATTGTAGGGAGGTTAACGAAGAGTATGCCAAGTACCTCCGTCGTGTGGTGGAGAAGCTACTAAGGAGCCTGTCATTAGGTGTGTATAGGGATTGAAGGACATGAGCTAAATGATGCTGTGGGTGGCGAAGAGTTAGTGTACCTTCTGAAGATAAAAATTATTACCCACCATGTCCTCGTCCTGATCTTGCTCTTGGGGTGGTGGCTCACACTGACATGTCTGCCATCAGCATTCTTGTCCCAAATGATGTCCAGGGCCTCCAAGTCTTCAAAGAGGGTCATTGGTATGATGTCAAGTACATCCCCAATGCCCTAATCATCCATATTGGTGAGCAGGCTGAGGTAATTTTCCACCTTGTTTTGAATTACAATATCTCTTTATGTTAAGTAAGATTGCGTGCGTATGTATGTTTGATCTTTATATTAAATAATATATCACAGTTTTGGAGTAGAGGCCAGTGAGTATGAAATTAATCCTCCACTGTTTGGTATAAACTTCAGTCCAACTGTTTATTGTTGATATTATAAAAAAAACACCATAATTAAGCCAAAAGGTATATCAAATAATTCAAGTACTATGTAAAAAAGATTTAGAAACATTATATTATCAAAAATAACACTATTGTTGTTCTACAGACATATTAACGGCAAGCCCAATCAATGCGTTTTAGGAGGGGCCAAGCCACAACCTCAATCAAGAAAATTCCACATAGTAAATCTAGGATAGAGTCAATCAACTTTTAGATGTTTCTCTTTATTCATTTCGTTTAGTTTTATGAGCCCCCACTAGGCCAGATTGCAAGCTTAATTATTTGGAAAATGCAATGTGGACTCTCTCTCTCTCTCTCTCTCACACGCGTAAAATATCCTATTGGTCCAACCCAACAACTCTGGATCCCCCCTCCCCCCCTTCCTCTCTTTCTAGAATGGGAATCTGATATTTTTTCTTACGATTTATACTAATAAGATAGAGGCAAATTCAAGGCCATGTTTGATTATCATTTCGGAAACAATTTTTTGTTCTCAAAATTTTAAAAACAATCAAAACCTGTTTGTTTCACATTTCTATTTTCTAAATTTTGAAAAAAAAATGAAATTTGAGTCAAAAAAATAGAAAACAAGTAACTTGTTTTTAAACTTTTCTTTGAAAATTTTAGAAACAAGGATAATAATATATATAAATTTGTATATATACATATAAAAAAATAAAAAAATATATATATATATATTATATAAAAATATGTAAAAATATATTAATATATATATATATATATATATTTATACATATATATATATATTAAAGTTTGATTTATTAAATTTTTTTTTATGAAATTGTCAATCTAAAAATAATTTTTTTATATTTTTTTATTAATGTTTGAATTGCTGTTCAAATATATATTTAGGCTGTCCAAACAGATTTTACTATTTTTTGTATTGTAAAATTATTTTTGAAATCATCTAATCAAACAAATTTTTTATCTCAAAAATATCGAAACCACTTTTTTAAAACTCTTCTCAAAATTATTTTTGAATACTATTTTTTAAAATATAAACCAAACATGCCTCAAAAATTTTCATCAACCTTCTTAATTTAAAAATGTAGAACAACGGTTAAAATTTAATTAAAAATTAAATATATGGTTAAGATATCATCTAAACTCATCTCCTCGACTCACAATCCATTCCACCCAAATAAATTCTCCCGCCCACTTCAACCACACTCACGTGCTGCACATAACTCAAACCAAAACCAGCTGACCATCCCCATCCCAGGCGTCCTCTCTGTCTCTCTCTCACACACACAGAACTCCTCTGCCATGGCTAAACCATCATCAAGGATCTCCTCTCTTACCCACGTACACCTCTCTCTCGCTTTCTCTTTCTCTTTCTCTTTCTTTCTCTCTCTCTCTTGCCCAGGTACACATCAATAACCCACACACACACACACACACACATATCACACAACACATATATCGTACACACACACCTTTTTCACATTTCTTTCACCCAAATACATAACCATGAGCCGTTTATGAGCTGCAATCTTCCTGGCTTAAGACTTCCCGTCAAGTCTTTGCTGCAATTCAGATCCATTTGTAAGTCCTGGTATGATTTATTCACAGACCAAGATTTTATCTTGATGCAATTTCATTGTTCCAGTGTTTATACACCTAAACTCCTCAGTGTTTATTCACAGACCCAGAAACACATCGCCCACACACACACACCCCAGCACACATACACACCAACACACACACACACACAAACATAAATTGATTTGATGATTTTGGTTTTAATTTGAGTCTTCATTTGGGTGTTGTTTTTTTTCACGACACACACACGGTTTTGGGGGTTTTAGAGGTGGGTTTTGTTTTGTTTCAGAGGTCAATTGATCACGGTTTTGGGGGTTTCAGAGGTGGGTTTCGTTTTGTTCCATAGTCAAGGTGCTTTGCTTTAGTTGCTTACAGGTTGTTTGAGAAAATAAATTGCAGGTTGTTTGAGTAAATTATCTCCTTTAGGTGTTTTCAATGTTTTGGTTTTAATTTGGTGTTTGAAAAATCAAAATCAGTGTAGTCTATGTGTCCTTTCCTCCCCAAAAATTTTCAAAAGCCCCCATCTATTTTACTTATATGAGACTTCCTATAAGTATTTAGTTTGCCTCTTCGAAATCTTTTTATGTATTCATAAGGGTTTTAGTGAAGAAATCATTTTTACATTTCGGCTTCCAAGACAAAGTTATTTACTTTATCAACGGGATGCAATTGTGGGTTTTGAATATTATCCTTTAATTTCAATTAACTTGATGAAATTTAGGAAAAAAGTTTTGAAACAAAGTACTTAGGATTATGGGATTCAATTGAGATTCGGAGTAATTGGAGCTATAATATAGATCGGAATTAGGATTATGGGATTTCTTTTTTCTTGAATAGGGAATTTTATGCTTGAGTGAAAATTATGATTTTGTGCTTGAATTGATTTTATGTAAGATTGAATTTATCTATGAAGTCTGATCTAGCTTTTAGTATGGAGTTTTTTTGGAATTAAAGGACACCATCATTTAAAAATTTTTTTGTAAATGAAGCAACCAATCACATTCTGTAGTGGTCGGAAGTTGTCAATTTCTTTAGTCTAATACATTTCTACTTTTATTTGTGCTTTTTTAAATTGATGGTTCTTCCATAATTTTCTAGTTTGCCTCCTCCATACTGAGAGTCAGTCTGGGGTTATATAACTACTCCACCTTGGTGCTTTGAAGTGAGGGGCTTGATTTGCTAAGTATTTTGTTTGCATTGGTGATGTACATATTATTTGTGGTTTTGAATATGAATTTTAGTATTTAATTTGAACTCGTATGAATTTTTGTTTAATTTGAATAGCCTAATGAAATTGATAGGTTCATAGACGTGTTTCAGCATATTAATATGCATACTTTTGATGAGATATCAAGTTGGCAATTTTCAATTGGAATTTGGATGCTCTAGAGTTTTTGTTTTTTGAGATGTTTTGATTAAATTGTTGCTTGGATTAAAAATATTTTCATGAGACCAATTAACATTTTATGATATTCATCATATTAAAGTAGTATTGTAGTATTTGAGCTGTGGAGTTTGGTAGAGAAATGATGTTGTAGTTAAATTCATTTTCACCGTTTGGCCTGACAAATCTTAAAATGTGTTCTTGGGTGGATGCATTGCTTATGTTTGATTGCATTTTTTAATATTGACTCTGCCAATGGGTGGCTGGCGTAATATGTTTGATTGTATGCTTAGTGTCTTAGATATTGGATTTAGTTCTTTTTTTTTCACTTTACCAGTAGATTGATATGTTGAACCCTCACCTAATAAATAATGTTTTTAGTGTACCCACACCTAATAAATAATCCCTACCATCAAATTTGGTTTTGTTAAATTGCTGTTACAAAATTCTTCTTTATACTACCCCTTTAGAGGACATGGTGATGCATTTATTTCTATTGGAAAGTAATTGGTTAAATTGTTACCACAAAATTCCGTAGATGTATTACCCTCTACGGACATAAATTTTGCTTTCACAAAGTTGCACGTGGTGGATTACACTGAATGTATTATATTGTTGCTATTGCTACATACACACAGGATCAAAATAACACACAAATTGATTTGATAATTTTGGTGTTCATTTGAGTGTTTTTTCAAATAAGTTTGATATGTTTTGTTATAGTTTGATTGTTATAGTTTGGGTGTTTTGAATGTTAAATTGGTTTGAATGTTATTGCTCCATTGGTATATAAAGGTTGGTTAATTTCCAACTCTTTTGTGGAATGATGGGTTGATTTTTTTGATAAACATGTGTTTCTATTGCCATTAGGTTCAATTTGATGCGAATTGAAGGAAATGTTTGCTATGGTTGAACTCAAGCGGCGATCACGTCCACTCGACACTCTCATATCGTGAGGTAATATTTTATTTATTTTGAGAATAGCTAGGTTATTTATTTTTAGTGTCATACCACTTTGAATGTGATCTATTTTGTTTGAAATCTATAAAGGTTTACGGGTTTAAGAAACTTTCTCAATTAACTGTTGATTATGTCCTTAAGTTTTATAGTAACTTTTGTTTTGTGTGGCTTTGAGTTGATGTTGAAAGAACCCCTATCACGAAAGGAATCCTCTTAGCTTTGTTTTCCCAATTTTTCCGTTACAAATTAGTTCCATTTTTGTGCTTCCATTTGTTTTAGTGGGTTTAGACAATTGCTTATATGCTTCCATTTTCTCGCATTTGCTTTATTGGGTTTGCAATTCATATTTTTCATCTTATGGGTGCATTCTAAAATCTGATAGATTTTGAAAGAAATATGTATGACTACAACAACCTTATAATATTTAGTTAAGGCTATGTGAAGGGTTTGTATGGATGGGCGGTAGAGTATAGCTTTAAGTGGAATTTGGAATTTGGAATTTGGGCGGTAGAGTAGAACCAGTAGTTCCAATGGAATCAATGTGCTTGATAATTGGAGAACCTACAAGTGAGGAAAAAGTTCATAAGGTGTATGCTTTTACAATTTTGTAGAGTTGTTTCCGTGTTAGTTTTAAGGCTGCATACTACATTTTTTGGTTAAATAGCGGCATACTACATTATCCACATTCATATGTTTCATACTCTCAAACAAATTGACTAAATCATCTTGAGCCGAGACATCAAATATTTGTAGATGTGAAGCATTATACTAGAATTATGATCATCTCTCTAATTCATGCATCCCAACTTTAGGAATTGGATTAATATTCATTTATTTTTTGCCTTTTCTTTTTGTCCGGTGTAGTGTCCTATGAATATGACTAATTCATTTTATTTCCTATCTTCAGGTTGATTTAGTCACACAAAGTTGTAGTTGCTTTGACAGTTTGATCAATGCATGGCTGGACTGTAATTCTTTTTCATAACCAAGGAATCTTATATTGTTAATTTTTGGAGGTGACTTTGTTGAAATTATTTGAAAAATAGTAAGCCCATATTGATTTAAAGTTATTTGCAATTCGACCAATACTTGAATGGGGTTAACTTATTTTAATGCACTCTCATTTTTTCTCATTGGTGATATTTTTGCATTGCATAGTACTTTTAGACATGGATATTTAGCTAGGTAAATTGTTATGTTGTTAAATTGTTGTTTTAAGGATGGACTATGACATGAATGGTTAATATTGTGGTGTTGATTTGAGTATGATTATGAGACATATAATCTTTGTATACAGACAGAGATTTTTTTAGGTTACTATTTTTAGAGGAAATTATGAGTTTTTTTTTTTAAAAAAATAGCAAAGACTAGATTGATTTCAATTTTTTAATTGAAGCAAATGAAAGAAAAATTGTTTCAAAGTGACGGTGTTTTTTTAGGTGTAAAGTGTCTTTTGACACGGGTTATTACTAGTGTTATTGAATAAGAAAAATGCTATTGAAACTTAATTTAGAGATTTAATTTAATGTAGTCATTAAATTAGAAAGTGGGTTCCATTTAACTATTGCATTGAATTTGGTCTATGTAGCATTCATTGCTCATTGAATAATAATCAGATGTTGTTTGCTGAGATACACATGAACGTACATATATTCATTCATATGCGTATACTCTAAATAAGGGAGAGGGTAGTGTTTGGTTGGTTCCCTTTCCCTTAATTAATAGTATGAACGAAGTCCACTATTATTCTAATAGAGATAGATAATGATAGTTAATTATTTATGGCATGTTATGTTTAGCGGCCAAGACCCATTAACTCATTTCATTTATCCATGTTCCTATTCTCATTACAATTTACAGCCATCTTTTAAACTCTCTAAAGTCTCAAAATTCACAAATTGATAACAACTCTTCAAACTTTCAAATCTCACAAACCTTCATCTCTAAGCCTCTCTCTCTCTCTCTCTCTCTTATATTTATGGCATGAAATTGTTTTTGCAGTTAACTGAATCTCATTGTTTTTCCTTAGAGAAGTAGTTTGAATACAATTCAGATCAACAATTTGCACACGTATAGCATGTACCATGGAAGCTAGTGTTACGACACTACAACACCTATAATGACAAGAACACACGATTCAACATGCCTTTGATAAAAAAAAATAAAAAAAAACAACATTAATTAATGGTGTTGGTTCTTCGTCGATTCTGAGCAATGGGAGGTACAAGGCTGTGCTTCATAGGTCAACAGTGAACAAAGAGAAGACAAGAATGTCATGGCCAGTGTTCTTGGAGCCACCACAGGAGCTGGAAGTAGGGCCACATCCTAAGCTTATTAGTGAGGAAAATCCCCCAAAGTACAAGACCAAGAAGTATCGTGACTACGTTTATTGTAAGCTCAACAAGATTCTTCCCAGTGAATGCATTAATTAGGTGTATTATATATGTTGGATATTCTCTCACAATATTCAAGTATAGTACTTGAACTCGGCTGGTTTGGTTAGCTATTTTTGTTGGCATCCGAACATAATTGAGTACTTGTTATTCCTCTAAGTTCGATCTCAATAGATTGTATGTACCTTTGGGAAGTTTTTTAATGCATTAATGCAACCTTTCTTATTAATTGTGTTTCGAGTTTTTTTTTTAAAAAAAAATTTTTGGGGTGTGGGAGAGGAAGAATCGTGGAAGAGGGGGGGACTGAATGTTAAAAGACTCGTGAGAATGAGGTGGAGGTAGAAATTCACCTAGCTAAGTGATTATTTAACCCTCGTGGTACGATTTATATGCATGTTGTGGGACGAGACTCGAACTTTCCTGGCTCAAGTTAGTTGAATGATTTACTTCCCATGGCTCTTGCCCTCTATGCGAAACAACATGAACCCAAATTGGTGCGGTAGCATGAGGTTATCCTTGTTCAGCAACTGAACACTTAATGAACCGCTTGGCAACGTTTTAATAATCTAGATGAATCTTAATACATGAATAATATATACTATAGCTGTGATTAAGCTTGGAACAAGGAAACAAATCGAGACAAGAAAAAACAAAAAAAAAAAGGTACAAAACAAACGCTTCTTAACAAAACATAAAAAGGAAAAAAAAAAAGAAGGTAGGAATGTACTCGAAAAAGTCTTCAAATGGTGAAGTTATTTAAGAAACACACACAAGCACAGAAAGTGAAGAAACTTTTATGCTTATTCCAGGTTCAGCATTTATTTCTGATGCAAACACTACTGAATTTTTTTGAAAGAAAAAACCACCTCTTGCTGTACTGGAAAATGAAAATAAATACGAAAAATGTACGTACACATCCGACAGAAGGTACGTGAAATAATTAACATTCCTCATCAGGAATAAAATTTTGGTCCATAAGCTTACTACCTTGTCACTGCACAATATTTCCGGGGCAGCAATTCTTCTCTCCCAACAGAAGAGGCATATTCACTAGTAAGAAATCATGAAAACAACGTCAAACTATCCATAAATGATTACTAGCAACCATAACAGCAAGGTTACATGCTAGCCCAAGGGACCTAATGTATGCCAAGGCATACTTATACTATGGCAACATCATTAAGCCTTGAAGGAACAATTAAAGAGACAAACATCAGTATGTTAGTTGTATGCTTTGGTCCAAACAGGTACGGAGTATATCAGGGTTCCCAAAGCAAATGAAATTAAAATTGTACTCACAGCATATGTGTATGCTCGCCAAGGGTTCTTGCTCTCTCTCATCGCTTGAAATTCGGCCATGAAAGTAGAAACAGTACTTAAACAGCCCAACATCCCAAACTGTATACCAGTTGCAACAGTATCGCTAGTTTTGGTTTTCACCTGTATCAAAGAAATCACAATTTGTGAAGATTAACAGGATAGTCAAACATACGGAAGACAAGGAAGTCAATGGTAGATGTAGATTGATGAAAGGGAGAACAATGTAGATGAATCATATAATGAAGCCTAACTGCTTTCTTTACTGTTGCAAGAGCTGCCATAGCACAAGCTGCCAATACATTGGCAATCAGAGTTCCGAAAGGAACCCATTTCAACAAACCCATTTTTCCTAAGCCATGTCCATTGAGTCGTGCCAAGAACCATCTGATCCATACACCAAGAGGCGCAACCATACAAGCCAACCAGAGCTGAGCTCCATGACTGCCACTGCTAAACTCTCTTATCTCCCAAGTTCCACTCAAACCGTATAACAAGCCTAGCATCAGTAACAGCACCACCACAACTGCCAAGTGGCGCTTGCAGTTGTCCACTTTCCAATTGCTTTTCGAGCTAGAGATGCCACATGTTGAACTTTTGATTAACCTCTGAAGAAGCCATTTGGCACCTCTGGCCGTCTCGATCCCAAAAATGATGGAATAGGCAGCAAGGAACAAGCCTGTAAAGAACTAGAGTAAGAAAGCTCATGTTGTACGGAATTAACATGCCACGTAGGGGGCTTGTATGTTGTCCAATATTGAATAGCCTCAAACAGGAGATCAATTTGGTACAAACAGATTGCTATACTTAAAAGGGCCAACTTATACATGTTACTTTTATATCCTATGCGCACCCTATCTATACCATGCACAAAATATTCGCTACAACACTACCTATCAGAATGCCGAGCACAGCGAAAACCCAATGGCCTTCAACACTGAGGTCAAGCATTTTCTGAATCCAACCACTGAATGTTGTGAGGCTTCCCAAATAACCAGTTGTCAATCCAATGGCTAATTGATCTGAGACTTTAGATATGTCTCTTTTAAAGACAACGCCCCACCACCCCATCAAGAATGAACCAACCTAAAAAAAATACACACAATGTTTGCTTGAGAACAATTGAGAAAACTATTAGAGGAAACTAAATTTATAAAAGACACCGGAAGGTGAAATGGCGACATATTTAAGTTGTTAGGCCTATATGTCACAGATCTAGATTATTTCTAACTATGTGTTTGACAAATTTATTGCACTCGATTTCATAGAAAAACACTGATTCTGTAAGCAAAATTAAACATAACAGAAAGCATAAAACTTGATGTTTCCAGATACGGCAATATTGAGCAAAGAATACTCCACCAAATCACCAACGTACATGAATAAAGTTACCAAAACTTAAACATGAGAGAAAATACATGTGCAAACTGCACAAATAGCTGCTCGTCCCTCTAAACTGACTTGATCTCTATCCTAGAGAATGATTCTCAGTACTCATACCACTGTAGGCAAAACATAAAAAAAAAAAAAAAACAACCAAGTGTGATCCATATGTTGCACAAGAACTTTAGTTTATATGTGCCTATGAATTGAAGAAAGCACATTCACATGTCTCTGTGTAATTAAAAAAGGAGGGGGGGGAGAGAGAGAGAGAGAGAGAGAGAGAAAGACCATATTTGAAGGAAGATCAAGGTACATATAGCTTTGGTCACTTGTTGCACCAACTCCCCCAGGGCCAAACAGTTTTTCCAGTAAATACCTTGTTAAGACCTGCAAAATATTAAAAAATCTGTCCCTTAACGTTGTCATAAAGATGCCATATCAAACACCCCTTCAGTCAGTAAGATTAGTTCATCTTGTCTCTAACATCATTAGAGAAATAAATAATAACTAAAATAATTATACTATCACTATCTAATCTCCAGAGTATTGTGAATTGTAAGTGTTAACCAAGAATAGTATTCTTTACATAAGTAGAGTAGCCAATTAGATGTCAATATGGATGTCTTGAAAGGCATATAGCTGGAACAACAAAATTTATTTGCAGAAACAAAGCAAAATCAGAGTATGATGAGCACCATAAATCATTTAGCCTCTTATGAACATGACTAACAAGAAATTCAATTTTGAAAATTCAGTGCTTTGTTAACATGTTGACAGCTGGCGTATATAAGGTTTGGTTCCAGCATTGATCAGTCATTAGGGCTAGGGATTTGCATGCAGAATAGTTATACATGTTAATTAGCAAATTGCACCGTGATCAAAGTGGAAAAAAGTAATGTAAAATTTCACACAAAATTTAAATTATCCACTGCCTAACTGAACACACTTTAAGAAATAAGAAATTCAGCATATTACCCCAAGAATGCCAAATAGAGCAAGATGAATGAGACATGATATATACTCCAATAACCATGGTAACTCTGTTGTATCCTCCTGCATATAGAAGTATGTGACACACCCAATAGTGGAAGAACAATTATAAATAGTATTGTATCATCAAACAGCCATGTAAGTGTACTGCAAGTTGAGAACTTTATTCCAATTTCCAAATCATTTCCATTAAGCACAGTTGTGAGAATTGAACACTCACATTCCTTTTGTTGACGGGGTGTGCAATTGCATCAGAGGAAAGAGGAGATATTATTTCCAGTGTCGATGGGGTTACAGGGGACACAGTATTTGATACAGTGGGATCATAAAAGCGAAATCGATATGATTGCAACAGAACATCCTCTGGAATGGGAACAACACTACCATTTTCTACCACATTGTCAAAAGAGAAACGAAGCCTACCACTTCCACTGGACCTATTACTGTGAAGTGCCCGATCCCCAAAATCTCCTGCCTCTGAAACAAACTCACTTTCAATGTCATCATCTGGCCAAGGGGGAACATCATCTGATAAACTTAAAGAACGCCTCCTCAAAGAAGAAGCCACACTGCTTGCCTCACCAAAAGATCCACTTGGTCTCGGTAAAGAGTCTTTAGCCTCACAATCCATAATCCTTCTTCCAGAGTGACTGATCCATTCATATCACGATAAATTTAGAAGCCATAGCAATGGGAAATATATTATTCTTTGTCACAAGATATAGCCAACTACTTCACTAATGAATACTAACAAAATGTATGCGTAGCCACTCATGCCATCTGCTTAAATTTTAATAGCAAGAAGTTAATCTTGCAATAAATATACACATGCAGTAATGTGTTAAACATATAGAACGTGAGTCTATATAGTACAGATATTGGTAACATAAGAAACCAGTTATTAAATGACTTAGATAAGATGAAGACAATTAAAATTAACCGTGCAATAAAGCAACAAAAAGAAAAAGAAGAGATTTCCCACTTTCCACATTCTTGAAAACATGAAAAGTGTTAGCATTGGCCTGCAATATACAATTATTTACAAGTCCAAATAACTCATAAAAACGATGGCTGAATGCATGAGCTTCAGCTACTGCAGGGCTGGGGACAGTCAAATGTAGATAGACTTGAACCCATAATGTTTAGGTCACAATGGAGCAATCATACTGTGCTGCCAAACTCCTCACTCCAAAGAATGCATAAAAATTGTTACAGCAAACTTTGCTTTCAAAGACCACAGAACCATGTGCATAAGCCCATGTAAAATGCCATCTGTTACGAATTTGGATGAGTCCTACAGAGTTTATTAGAATATAAAGATAGCAGTATTTGATTGAATCAATCATCTTTGTAGCCGCCAAGTCACCATTAGTAAAATCAAGTGCACCCATGTTTGAGCATCATAACCAAAATTGTATGCAACGCAAACTGTAAAAACTACCCTAATGAAAAGCAAAAGCAAAATTCATTTGCTTTAGAGTACAAGATGTGTCCTCCACTAGCAGAGCAAGAGAGAAAAGCAAAACTAAACACCACCGTGCCGTAAAGGTTTCTAATTCATGTCCACACATATTGAGAGCTCAAAAACAAAACAACTTAACAGTAAAAGGGACATGTAACGTCAAATAAAGGGTCCCAAAATCACAAAACAAAGATTATTTTTTCCCTTCCTTTTCACAATTAACTAAACGCACTTCAGAGAGAGAGACAAAGACAGATAAAGAGACAGAGCGGTAAGAGAAATTTTATAAATAAACACACAGCCAAAATACCCACCTCAAAAGCCCAACATGACAAATTAAGAATGTGTGTGTGTGTGTCTTGTGTGTGTGTGTGTGTGAGAGAGAGAGAGAGAGAGAGAGTACCCATGAAAGGAATCATTCAAAGGGCACAAAGCTCCAGCAGAAGAGAAACCAATTTAACTCCTCCAAGACTCCAATTCTGATAGTATTTCAAAAAACTAGCAGCAAATCTGTTCCGCCACTAATTGGTTCGGGACTCGATTCAAGTTGTATGTGAGATATTCTCTGCGTACAACAATG